CCCCCCTCGCACTTGTATTGCATGTTTCTAATCTTTAATCAACAACTCCGCTTCATGCGTACCTGACATAATTCAATGGCCAGCTTGTCAATAGAGTAAGTCAATGTATCCAAATCGCAAAAAAAAGCACTCACCTCGCCTGTGTAGATCCTGAAAGGGTGCGTTTAGCACGTTCACATGCCGTGCGCAGCCGACGCAGTGCTCGTGGGTTTGTCGTCAGATCCTTCTTGTTTTTCCGTTTGAACTCGCCGACGAAATGATTCACCATACGGTTGTCGAAATCCTCGCCTAATAATACGAATCATTTAAAGCAACTGTTCAAATGGTCCAAAAGTATCAAGTTCAGTGCGAAGTCGTGGGAAACCAGCCCTTGTAGATATCCTTTTACAAAACCACACAACTCATTTTTGTGATAATGCTGTTCTCCGATACCGATTTTGTCGGCAAAATCCGATAAACACAGTTTCAAGCCCGAGGCAAGGTCAAATCAGTAGACTGCGTCTGAATGAAACGGAAAATGAGGAACCTCCAAGATGAGTGTCGCCTGCTGTTGACTTCACTTCAAAAATACCATCTTCGATTGTCAAAATTGACACATCGAATGTTCCGCCACCAAGATCGAAAATCAAGACGTTGTGCTCGCCGTGACCCTGAAGCAAAAACACTGCAACAAAGCACAGCACCTTTTCTTCAGTTATCTAAATTTCTTTGGATCCTCCACTTTTTTTGAGATTACGATTCGATCTTCTAACGGACCTAATTTATTATTTCAGAAAAAAGTGTACACGTCAAAATCCCCAGTAAAAAAGTTATAATAGAAGCGATTCGTAGTTCACCTTTTTATCCAAACCATATGCAATTGCAGCAGCAGTTGGCTCATTTATAATTCGCAGCACATTTAGGCCCGCAATTGCGCCAGCATCTTTCGTTGCCTGCCGCTGGGAATCATTGAAATATGCCGGCACCGTGACCACCGCATCCTGAAAACACAAAAAACGGTGCGCCGATAATTGAAGAACAGTACGGGGTGTGGACTGAACTGAATCCTGGAACTGAGCGTGGACTGAATCCTATAAAAATTAAAAG